TAATATCTCCCTCCAAGTCGATAATATGGAAAAACGAAAAGACAGGTCGATTTTATTTTCGAGGGGGACATGGTTCTAAAATATTTTCAGCCCCGCGGCGTTGCCGCTTCTAACGAAAAGAAGCAACAACTTTGTTATTTCAAATGGAACACCCTGTATTTTATTGCATTTTTAGATTCTCACTGAAAAGCTGATTTCATCAATGTATCACACTTGGGGTCTAGCAGGAATGATTACAGAGATATAGGGTGTTCAAAATCGAGATTTTACAACTTTAGGATTTTTTTGAGTCGAAACTATTCATTATTGGTCAAAACGGCTTTTATGTCCCTATCTCAACTTTTGATTTACTATCTACTGACATTTGTTTGAAACAAATACAGGGTGATCAAAAGTCTGAATCTTGAACCACCCTGTATTTGTTTCAAATAAATGTCAGTAGATAGTAAATCAAAAGTTGAGATAGGGACATAAAAGCCGTTTTGACCAATAATGAATAGTTTCGACTCAAAAAAATCCTAAAGTTGTAAAATCTCGATTTTGAACACCCTATATCTCTGTAATCATTCCTGCTAGACCCCAAGTGTGATACATTGATGAAATCAGCTTTTCAGTGAGAATCTAAAAATGCAATAAAATACAGGGTGTTCTATTTGAAATAACAAAGTTGTTGCTTCTTTTCATTAGAAGCGGCAACGCCGCGGGGCTGAAAATATTTCAGAACCATGTCCCCCTCGAAAATAAAATCGACCTGTCTTTTCGTTTTTCCATATTATCGACTTGGAGGGAGATATTAAGGGTGGGAAGTTTTCAAATTGACACCCTGTATATGTCAAGTTGAAACTTAAATGCAGAACATTGAAGAACAAAACAGATTGGAGAGACACACATTTTGTATACAGTAATAGTAAAATATAAGGTACATGTACATAATTTGAAATTTTGTTTTATATGTTCTGGTTCCCACGAACGAGAATATACTGTAATGTTCAGAGAACATCTTGAGAACTAAGGGAAATGAGGTAGGTATTGGTGTTCCTCTTAAATTTCTGTAGGTTTTATGCCTCGTAGAACACCTCCCTAGGCAATGTCGTGTTCCAGAGCCTCGCTGTTCGTTGGATTAACGAGTCTTTGGAAAGAGATGTTCTGCAGGTCTCCAAAGTGACCACGAAGGGATGCGAAGCCTGAACTCGACGAGTTCATCTCGCTGGGACTGCCAATGGAGGAACAATTGTTGATATTTCAGAAAAGCATCGTTCATGAAAATATCTATGAAAGAGAGCCAGATCGCCAACTTTTCTACGGTGTTCCAGAGAAATGAGTGAGAATCCAACAGTTTCAGGGTATGTTTGGGTGCTGCACTCCAAATATGGGAACAGTATTCTAGGACAGGTCGGATCTGTGCCTTATAGATCATAAACAGCTGACTCAAAGTGAAATAGCTCCTGTTTTTGGGATGCACTTTCAGCAATTGATCTCACGTGATTTTCCCAAGAAACGTTATTGCTGATAGTGATAACAAGCATCGAAATGAATGTCTTCAAAGGTATGGTTACTCCTGACAAGCTTATGTTGGGCACAGTGAGATCGGCTTTTCTAGAGAAAAGGCATGCCTATGTTTTGTTCGCATTGAAATCTACCAAGTTATTGGATTCCCATTCGAGAATTGTTGCCAAGTTCATATTTGTGTTGTCAACATTTCTCCCGCCTCGTTCGTTTCTGATTTGCCTGGCTGGTATTGGAGCCCTGAAAGAGATCGTTGATATGGAGTAGAAATAGTGTTGGTGCTAGAATTGTTCCTTGCGGAACACCAGCACTCATGATAAGAGAGTCAGATGAAACTCCGTCGATCACTACATAAAGAGACCTGTTTGAAAAAAAACTAGCTAGCAGAGAACATAGCTGGGGAGGCAAGCCATAAGATGGAAGTTTGGCGAGGAGTCCGTGGTGCCAGACTCGATCGAATGCCTTGGAGATATCAAGTGCCACGGCTTAGGTTTCAGCATATTTTACATATATATACAAATGCTTGAAAATTTGGAAAGCGAAACCAGGTGAGCACATCGGGATTGTATCAATACAACGTCCTAAAGAGGGTTCAGTTATAATTATTGATGGTTTATTGATGAGTTTGTGGAGTTGGGGTGAGTATCATGTGTTCATGGTTGAATGAGAGGAATTCCTCAGTAGAATAAAATGCATGTGATAGTAAATGATTTCTTACCCATTCTTTCAATTGGATAAAATTCGAAGAACAGCTGGTGGTAAAACATCAAAAAATCTGGCATTCATAGAATTTTGCTCTGTGACAGGAAAACTGAATTTAGGAGTTCTGAATTTACTTGTTGCTCTCGTAGCATGATTATGGATATCAGCATTTTTTGAGAACAGAGATATATTAGCAAAAGTTTCCAGTAGAGTTTGGTATATAAAAATACAAGGTATCGGTATTGTTAACGTGTGACAATCTCTGAAAATCTGTCGGCCATTCGACTATAGGGAAATCTTGCGGCTTTAGAAAAATCATATTCCATGTTTCAAGAGCAGAAAGTGGATTAACGTTCGTCCAGGACTTGCGACCTCATTTCGGATGGATACTGAAAAGCTAGAGGATCAAACATTCCGCACACTTTCAGTCTCGTGAAATTGTCCAGCCATCATTTTCGACTTTCAAGTAAAAAGTTTGAAGTGAAAAAAAAATATGCCACATTTGTAGGGTTTGATCCTCCAGAGAACAGAACAGAATCCTATTGCTTTAGTCATCAGTTTCGGCTAAATTCTTTCTACACGAATCAGTCAGTATATATCAAATCAATTCAAAACAAAGTTCGGATGAAGATGCATACATTCGGACTCACTCTCTTCTCTTTATATATTGAATGATCACAAAATGGAGTAGTGACAAAAAATTTAGAAAGCGACACTCCACTCAAGACCCAAGCTAGTGTCGGTTTCAACCGTACTTGGAATCCAATTCAACATTGGCCATTGTCATAACTTTAGTATGAAATTCTATTACATAGTCACGAAAGTCATTGGGAGTTGGAATATATTTATCAATTTCACACTATAAAGAGTGTCGGATCCACCAAAAATTGATTGAATTATTCACTATACCAGGATGTCAAATGGCTTCTGCATTGTTCAAATTGATACTACTTTGTGTTCAGGTGCTAATGAGAACTTATAATGATGGATTCATCATTTGAGACTGATATAGAACACTAAAACAGTAAACAAGACACTACTTGCTGTTGAGATTTTATCTTCGTCAAGTGAATCATTTTTTCACATGTCACAGTACTTATTTGGAGGCTTCCTGCAGACATTCAGGGAGTGAATTCAATACGAGATTAGTAGAAATTCAATCTAGAATTAGTTCTTAAAGAGATAATCTGCGAGAAGTGTACATTTAGAGTTGATTGCAGTATCAGAGTGAGTTTGTCAGAGTATTTTAACTATAAAAACATACTCTGCTAATTTAACCCTATGCGTGTTAGGTACGAACTCAACTGTAGATCTTGTCCTAAGTTATACATATATCGGTCAGACAGGTTGAACGTTTAATCACCGCATTCATGAACATTAGATGCATATGAAAAAAATTCAATATACGCGGACCATATATTAGAAGAAAACCATAGTTTTAATGATAATTTCGGATTCTCTCACGTAGAAAATGAAGGAATAAAACTCAATCATTTGGAATCTTAAGAACTACTTTACGATTAACTAGACCTCAATGTTTCACCGCTGTTGAATTTGCTTTCTCAGTAGGTAATAATGTGCTATCATCCATTCGAAGTTAAAAAATCAAACTATAATATACTAAACTATAGAGGTAATTCATCTACTCTGAAGCTTAGTGGTTCTCCTGGAAACAGATATAGTGTTCAATTTCTTTTTTTTTTACTGTGTACCTACCGATTGAAGTATTCCTAAGAACTTATAATCGACCGCATAAGGAATCGGTAAAGTTTCAGCTGGAGCAATACTTGGAAAATCATTGTTCTTAATAAGGAACAAGGTTGGAGATAGTAAACTGCCTTGAAGTAACCAGATGTTAGTCGAAAGGGTAGTGGATTTTACACCATTTGCATATACAATTTGTCGGCGATGGCAATGATATGATTTTATTTGCTGGACCCCGTATTTCGATTTTTCTACCATTTTAGTCTGAATTTCAAACTTTCATAGAATACTGTTTCTGTACTCCTCTTTTTCAAGAATCCGTGTTGAAATGGGGTCAGGATTTCATTTTTGTCTAATAGAAAACTATTTAGTTGCAATAAAAACACTTTTTCGAATATATTGGAACATTGGTTTTGCACTGCTATGTGGCTCTATACTGCGATAAATCAGCACTTGTTGCTTTATTCTTGAACGCGGGCGTTATTTTAGATTTCTTCAATATTTTTGGGAATTCACCGTACTCCCCAGAGTTTATTTATTAAGTATAGCAGAGTTTTTTTATTTCATCAAAGCATTTTCTGAAAATGAATCCGGGTACTCCATCACTTCCTTCAGTTACTTTATTTTCTAATTCAGTTTCGGAAACTGGACCTAGAAATATACTATTTTGGTTGTAATTGGTTTTATATTGCGTTTCTTAGGTAAAATTCATGTTATCAATGTAGCAGAAGAATGAATTGAAGAGATTTGCAATTTCAGTTGGGTCCCTAGTTGTCTCACCCAGTATATTGTTTATTTCCGAAATACCATAAGTTTTCCTATTGTTCTCACGATGACTATAATGCAGCTCGTGTCTTTTTTCCAGTGTTTCCAATGAAGTTTTCGATCAGATGATATTTTTGTTTCATTCAAGAGTCTGTGATAGGATCGTTTAGCATCTAAATAGGACAGGTGAAAATTTTGACAATTCAATAATTTATCACGAGAGTAAACTTCTTTCATATGATTACAGAGGTATCTGATATTATACGTTACCCAGTTTTTTCCTACTACTAGCCTGTGTATGAATTGAATTTTATTTTTCAGATATGAACCAATCCCTAGAAAACTTATCATCGATCGAACATCAAAGCGAATACGTTCCATATCACCAGAGACCAGAAACTTACATAGTGCCCTTTCTGTTTTTCATCATCTTCGTGGTAGGAGTTTTGGGAAACGGAACCCTCGTTATCATATTTCTGCGACATCGAGCTATGAGGAATGTCCCGAATACGTGAGTTATCTTTATCTATAATCTAGTAACTCAGCGTGAGTTAAATCGGGTTACGTATGCAAAGTGAATTATGTATCTAAACTTTGGAATAAATTGTTAGTAACTGCGAAAGGGTCTTGAATGTAACGTTGAAGTTCATAATCTCATGTTGGAAATATTTGATTGAACTAGTCTCCACCGACAAACTGAGCAAAGTGTTTTTAACCACACTTTCATTTGCTTGATATACAGGGTGTATCTGAATAACACCAAAAAAAATTAAGGGGTGTTTCCTTCTGACATTCTGAGCAAATAGAGTTCATACGGCGCAGGCAGGTCAATGCTACGAAAGCGTAGAAAGGCCACTGTTGTGTGTATTCTATTTAATTTCTTTATTCAGACTTTAAAGTCTGAATTCAGACTTTTTTCTCTGAATTCAGACTTTTTTCTCTGAATTCAAACTTTTTTGTCTGAATTCAGACTTTTTTCTTTGGATTCAGACTTTTTTCTCTGAATTCAGACTTTAAAGTCTGAATTCAGACTTTTTTCTCTGAATTCAGACTTTTTTCTTTGAATACAGTATCTTTGCATGCCATGCTACCCAACCATTGTTGAGTTAGTATCGTTAATTACGAATATAGTTCTCGAGTTATTGATGATCTATTTAATTATCAATCTTGCATTATATCAGAAGGATTGATTTGGTCATAAGTTATACTATTTTGGCAGCACTTATGCTGTCAACTACCCTATGAAAAGTGAGACTCACCATATATATTATATAAACTATATTCTCGCTTTTTATATAGGGTATAATAGTTATTTATGTATTAAGGGAATTATGAGGGCCTTAATTACTGATGGCAAAGTTTGCGTCCCGAGGGCCTCTGGCCCGAGGGACAGCAATTGCCAGAGGTTATTAAGGCTCTATAATTCCCGTGATACATAGATAATTTTATTTCTGACTGATTTCATTCATTAGATACCTTCCCGATTGGAAGTTAGACATGTTTTTCCGTATAGTTTCAATGTCATCAGAACGTCAGATGATGATCTTGACTACCGCGAATAGGAGATTCCTTATTGCTACGTTATTGCGTGGTTGTTGCTATGCATTTCTTATTTAACTTTAGCTAGAGGGAATTATAGCATCTATAACATCCCAAGGGAGTTATGACCCTCATTATAGATATCGTAACTATGACGATATAAGCTTATAATGTCACTGTCAGAAATAAATATATTTGAATAAGCATCACATCATTTATTATAGACGTTTTGACGTAGTGACCTGCAAATAATAATAAAATTAATCAACCCCATGAAAAATAAATGACATAAAAGGTAGGTATACTTACTGAAATCAGTGTATTACCCTCGGTATTACCTAATGTAAATGTGTTATTCAATGAATTAATAGAAAAAAGTCTGAATTCAGAGAAAAAAGTCTGAATTCAGACTTTAAAGTCTGAATTCAGAGAAAAATGTCTGAATTCAGAGAAAAAAGTCTGAATTCAGACTTTAAAGTTTGAATTCAGAGAAGAAAGTCTGAATTCAGAGAAAAAAGTCTGAATTCAGACTTTAAAGTCTGAATAAAAAAATAAAATAGAATACACACAACAGTGGCCTTTCTACGCTTTCGTACAATGCCGTCAATGGAGACCTTGCTGAAGTCCCAGCCTGGGGAACCAACAACCTAGTTGAATTCAACGCCACCAAAACTCAAGCCTGTATTTTCTCTAGAAAGACGGAACTCAGTATGCCCGATATTGTAATGTCTGACACCATGATCCCCACCAAGCCCACCATATCTATGCTCGCTATTTCCATTAGCAACACTGTTTCATGGGATAATCATGTCAGATCCATCGCAAAAGCTGCTTCACAAAAACTCGGATTCTTGTTCCGTGCGAAAAGCTACTTCACAACTTCTCATGATCTACAAAGCGCAGATACGGCCTGTTCTAGAGTACTGTTCCCACATATGAGGTTCAGCACCAAAACATACGCTGATGCTCTCAGATTTCATCCAGAGAAGAGTCATTTGCCTGGTAAGAAGAATGAAGTAATCACAAGAATTCTAATCAGCACACCCATATATTAGGTCAGATCGTGTCATCGTAGAATTCTTTAAGGCTGTAATATGGTCTGAGCTTCAGTATTTCTTTGACAGTTTTCCTGAATATTTTATGGTTTAGCAAGTGGTTATACATTTTAACACCATTGTAATACAAGGAATCTCTCACTAAAGACGTGCTGGGTATCGGCAGTTTCAAACTATTAATGCTGTGGCGTGTGGAATAATTGGACTGAGCTCTGTTAAATTTGGTGAAATGTTTCCTCACCAAGCATACGGTCTCTAATATAAACGAAGATATCACTTTTCTTCGAACAATGGCCTACATGAGTCGCGAGGTTTGGCTTTGTAAATATATCGAATTGCTCTTTTTTGAAGCACCTGCACAGTTTCAAGTAGGTCTAGGTTACACAATCCCCAGGAAGGTATCCCGTACCTTAAATGTGACTCAATTAAGGCATAATATGCTGTTTTAGCAGTCTGGGATCCAAGCTCTTCTGGAATTACCCTCACTGCGTAGCATCCAAAGGATATTTCACTTTTGAGTTGCTCGACATGCCTATCACATTTCAATTTTTTGTCTATGACGACTCCCAAGAATTTGGTACAGTCTGTAGTTTCAATGATTTCGTTATCAAGGGGAAAATTATCGAGTTAGCATCTGAAAGTAACTATATTTGTTTTATTCATATTGAAAGATAGAAGATACGAGTCACACCATAACTTGATCTTTTTCACATCGACAGATATGTTATTCTTCAGATCTTCTTCTGTTTTACTGTGACACAAAATCGTGGTTTCATCTGCGAAGAGTGTTACTTCACCAGTCAAGTCAATATTTGTGATCTCATTAATATATATCAAAAAAAGTATGGGACCCAATACTGATCCTTGAGGCACTCCAGAATTGATCTCAATTTGCTTCGAGTATTCATTTGTATTTGATTCTACTGGTTGTCTTCGACCTATGAGATATGATTTGAACCATTGCAGAGTCACTCCTTTACATCCATAGTGATGCAGTTTCCGCAAGAGTCGAAGGCTTTTGTTAGATCATAAAACATTGCTGCCGCAACATCTCCACCATTGATGTTTGAGTAGACCTCATGAAGAAATGTAAACACAGTATCATGGGTGTTTTTATGTTCCTGAAATCCAAACTGATTCTTACTAATGATATTATATATGCGTTATGGGCCTTGAGAACCTGAATATTTCAGATTTGTCCATATTTATGAAGAGAGCTCATCACGTACTAGATACATTTTTGGGGAAAACGGTCAACAGGCTGCAAATTGTTGAACATGCTGTATATTTTTTACTGTTTCCACTAAATTTATTCAAACTATAGTGTCAAATTCTTCGAGTTTGCCTTCAATCACAAAGGAATTTCTTTATATGAGTAGATTTTCAATTGATAATTTTGTTTCTCTATTTCACATCGCATAATTCTGAAAAAAGCTGAATTCAACGAAGTAAAAAAGTAAAAATACGAGTCTGTCTGGTATGGAAGTTTCGATAATGAAGAACAAATATTTGATTTCCCATTATCATCAAAAGAATTTCAATTCTCGAAATCTACACCAGACTATTAAAAAAGTAATAATTTCGTTAGACAGCCATCACGAAAGTATTCAGGATGCTGAAAAAGGCTTTTAATTGGAGAACATGATGGAAAAAAAATGCGAATTTCCTCTGGAAGAACCCCTTCGAAATTGCCATCAACGCGAGAGATAGAAACCAATTTCCCAGGTTCTAAATCAACTCTGCCTAGTGGAGGATCCAGAAACTGAATTACATGAGACCGCTGTTGCTAATTAACTATTTTCGAATGATTCAATCTACAATTATTAGTCTCGGTAGAATTCAAGGAAAGCAGTAACGGCAATATATTCCAGAACTTCGTATATACAGTGTGTCCCACTTACTATGCTCACCATGGGTATCTTTTTAACGGTGAGAGATACGAGGTCGGTTAAATGACACCAAATGTGGAGTTTGTCAAGGCCAACTATAATGTGAAAAAATATTTTGATAAAATCTATTAGTTTTTGTTTTATACGCAAAAAACAGATTTTGATCATTTTCATGTCACCTTTGAAACTTCTTTATTTACGAAAATATTCAAATAGGAATTTCACATTCTCATGGCAGTTTTTCAAAGTGATTTCGAAAAAAATATGAAATTCTAATCAACTCTTCTAGAATTTGAGATATCAGCACCAACTTTAGTTTTTCAAATGTAGGTCATAGCTCACTATGACTTAGTTACAAATAACTTTTTTTCTCTCACAGATGATATGTCGCAGTTATAGTTTTGTGTTGATAACAACGGAGTTATCGTCATTTATACATAAACAAAAAATTATTTGGAAGCCGCCATCTTGAATTCATAAATTTTAACAAAAAAATCATGATCTCCGACCTCACAAACCCCCACTTACCAATTTTGAATGGAATCGGACCAAATCTTGTCCGCCATCTTGGAGCAGCCATTTTTTTTTTGATTCCAACAAAAATTCCATAATGTATTGTCACCGAAATTATGAACACCTGCCAAATTTCAAGTTAATCAGAGTTATGGAAAATGTGAAATTCCTATTTGAATATTTTCATAAATAAAGAAGTTACGGAGGAGACATGAAAATGATTATAGTTGGCCTTGACAAACTCCACATTTGGTGTCATTTAACCGACCTCGTATCTCTCACCGTTAAAAAGATACCCATGGTGAGCATGGTAAGTGGGACAGACTGTATATATTCATCAGGTACTTTGCTCAAGTTTTGTATTTGACTGATTTCAATTGCCTTCTGCAGATGGAACTTTGATTCTCCATTGCCTGAATGGTACTCGATAGAGTTGAATTATTATATCTCAGAAATCAATGTTCTCATTTGCATAGAAATGATATGAGTCAATGAAATGAAATGTAAAATTAATTCAAAGTTTCTGTGTAGGGGTACTGTTAAGGTTCTTTTAGACCTGATATTGAGGTTATGAACATCTGTACGGAATTTCAGTTGCTCATGAAGATGCGGCGGATTTTTGTCGGTTATGATTTTTTTGAATAAATAAGCAGAGTGCATATATCTTCTGTTTTCCATTTTCAGCCATTTTATGAGTTTGAATAGGTGACTGATGTGAACATACTTTCGTACCCCGAAGATCATCCTGATACAGGGTCATTTCGTATATTTAAACAGCTTCTACAGGGTTCATCATTAAAGATAGAGAAAAACTTCGGATGTGAAAATTGTAGGTTTTGTTCTGAACATCCAGAAAATCATACCAGATGAAACAATTGAATATCGCTGATATAAGAAATAGGTACCAACTTCGTTATTTTCAACGGAACACCCTATATATTTTTCGAAAAAATCCAAGATCTTTTTTTCCTGATTCCAAAAATATATTGGTCATTGATATTTGGTTCAGCCGTTTTCGAGATATTCGAGATTGAACATTTTGGATTTTACCAAATCGCAACTGCCATGATGGAAAAAAACGCACTTTTATAACTGAAGGAGATGCAATTTCACAAATGTTCGATGTGACCACCGTTGTTTTGTATACATTTTCTGTAGTCTTTATCCAATTTATCTATCGAATTACAAATGGAGTTGGAGTGATGATTTTTCAATATGATAATGTATTCCAAAATTCTCAATCCCAAATCAGCCAAATTTCTACTTCTTTCCTTATACACTTCATTCTCCAAATAGCCCCATAGAAAGTTATCTAAAGGTGCTGAATCTGGACTGTTCGGCGGCCATTCCACTGTTCAAATTTTCCGATCCGCGTTTGATAACGATCATTCAAGTGATGTCGTACGGGCATAACTTGATGAGGTGGCGCGCCATCCTGATGCCAGATCAATTCATTATACTGCCTGAGTGGGAGGTTTTCCAACAGATTTTCAATTCAAAAACTGTAAATACCTATCTCCTGCTAAAGAACCCTCAAAGGAAATTGGTCCATTCACTTGGTTTTTCAAAATTCCACACCAGACATTGAGGGATTTGTGACCCTGGTGCTGAATCTCTTCGTATCCATGTGGATTTGGTGAAATCAAATTAAAAGAAAATCTAAAATGCTCAACCTCGAATATCTCGAAAACGGCTGAACCTAATATAAATGACCAATATACTTTTGGAATCAGGAAGAGAAGATCTTGAATTTTTTCGAAAAATATATAGGGTGTTCCATTGAAAATATCGAAGTTGGTACCCATTTCTTATAACAGCGATATTCATTTGTTTCATCTGATATGATTTTCTGGAGGTTCAGAACAAACCCTACAAGTTTTGCATTCGAAGTTTTTCTCTATCTTCAATGATAAACCCTGTAGAAGCTGTTCAAATATACGGGATGACTCTGTACACGAATTCTGAAGCTATTGGACTCGACTTTCGTCTTTTGTGCTGAGAGAGCGATCATATAAGAAATCACAATAATTCAGTTGTGATAAGACTAAAGCTTCAATTAATATTTTGACTGGCCTCGTTAACAAGTGCCGTCTCTGGTAAATTAGCTTCAGTGCTGCGTAAGCCTTCCGAAGACACTTTGAAATGTGACTGTTGTAAGTGACACCGACATTTTTAACAGACTTCTGTGGTTCAATAGTTTGATTATTTATTAAAATGAGATATTCATTAGTATTTAGGTTACCAATTCGCAATCGATCATACTTTTTTCCAAATAGTATTGCAAATGATTTGTGTGGATTAAGTGAGAGGCAATGATTTCTGGATTGCTCAAATAATTTATTCAAATCAAAGTTGAGTGCATATATCGCTTGTTCAGTTTCGTCAGGATAAAAAGAGATGTAGACTTGCGTGTCATCTGCATAAAAATGACAGGAGGATGACAAGAATACGTTTTCGAATTTTGATATGTATAACGTGGAAAGTAACGGACCTAATATCGATCCCTGCGGTACTCCAGAAGATGTTGTCAAATAGTTTGACAAAACATCATTATATTATACCGCCTGTAACCTATTCCTGAGATAATCATTCACAAGGAATAACCCTAATAGCACACAACGTCCTAGGGACGTCCCAATTTGGTACAATTCAAGTCCGAATGTCCCGGACCAAAAATAAGTGTCCTTGGGACGTCCCATCCCGTACATCTCATGCAATGTCCGAGTATGGACGTCCACGGAATGTCCCAGCTGGTACATCATTTCAAATGTCCTAGAAATAGCATCCCCTAGACGTCCCACGTGGTACATATTGTAGAATGTCCATGCAAGGACGTCCTTGGTATGTCCCTGATGGGATATGATTTTAAACGTTCCTTTAGGGACATCCATCGGATGTCCCGAGTAGTACATATTCTGGCTTGACTTCATATCTTATATAATGCGCCTTCTAGACAACCATAAAATGTCCCTGATAGTACATTCCTTCAAATATCTCTGCACAGACGCCCTTAATATTTCCAGGATAGTATAACAATCGAAATGTCCCTTAGGAACATCCTTCGGATGTCCCAATTGGTACTCAAACTGTACTCTCCCAATGTCCTAGAAATAACGTCCTATGGACGTCCCAGTCCGTACTTTCAATTTGCTGTCCCTGCGAGGACGTTAACTTACACCTCGTCGACGAATGATTGCTCGTAGGCTATAAGTACTCCTCGTCAATGTCCTTCACGTAAGTCCATTGGACATCCTTGGGAAACTTTTTGGGGACCTTCCACGGACCATCAACCTAACTGGATTTCCTTATCAGTTATGCAAGATCTGGTCCTAGAGGGACCCAAAAAAATTCAAATTCAAGAATAATTCGTACGTCCCTGGGACATCCTATGGACATCCAATTGATATCCCTCAGCGTTGCTGAAAGGTTGTCCTCGATAGTTGTCCCAGGGACGTCCCTCAAGGACGTCCCTAAGTGGTCCTCAAGTGGGACATTTGTGCGTCCCACAGACGTCCAATGGACGTCCATGGTACCAAATTCGAACGTCCTATGGACGTCCTGAATGTCCCGACAGGACGTCCTAAGGATATCCATGGGACATAAATGTGTTATTAGGGAAAGCACTCTGAGAGAGCCCTACATGTTTCAGTATTGATGACATCAGATGATGATTAAGAGTGTCGAATGCCTTGCTATAATCAAGAAGAACTAGAAGAGTTATTTTTATTAATATTCACTTGACGTTTTTCTGAACATCAGTCTCTGAGACAATTTCAACAATTTCAATAGCATTCCCATCGACTAAAGTAAAAGTGCAACCTTTCCAGGCCCAGCAGTTCTTCATCTCCAGTATCTCACCTAATTTGTTCAGAATATCTCTTCGAGATTTCAGCATCATTTCATTCATTGCATAACCTGTTCCTTCGTGCTCTAAAAATAGCATCCCTTGTCCACCTCTTTATGAAGACCACTGTTTTTTCTCATTCTATAGAAATAATTGATATCATTATGAGTTGTAGTAGTCATGCATTTCTTGATTATACTCAGGGTAGTTTTTATAACATTCTCATTGGGTTCTTCCAGTACATCATTGATTACTAAGGCATTTCGATATTTCTCCATGTTAATTATATTCAAATTCTCCTTATGTGAATACTCTGCAATAGCACAGTTTGGATTAATCTATGGAGAATATCAGATATACAACTGTGGCAATAGCTACTTGCCTCAACTCCAAAACAATAACAGGTGCGTAAAGTGACTTTTCCGCTCTTCTTAGGTAAACTACCATATTGTTATGCTTGCAGCCAGTAAAGTAATGGTTTTGCTCCTTCAAATTTTTGAATGTATGTGGAAATATCTGAAATTCCCTAATTTTTTCATTGATATTGTTTATTTCAGGTACATATTTTCTTTGGCTCTAGCTGACTTACTCCTCATCCTAACATGCGTACCATTCACCTCGGTAATCTACACCCTGGAATCATGGCCTTGGGGTGTTTTTTTGTGCAAAATCAACGAATCCGTCAGAGACATCAGCATCGGAGTGTCAGTATTCACTTTGACTGCGCTTTCTGCCGAAAGATACTGTGCTATCGTCAACCCACTCAGGAAATTACAGGTAAAAAACAGTTTCTTGATGAATCTCAATCTCATCAACACCACCATTGTATTTCCGTATACAGTGTGGAGACTTCAAGTGAAATAGATTCGTTAGCGATCTTTGACGTCAAAAAATATGTTTATTTCTGTGACGGGAAAACAGTGTGACATTTCATCTGAGTTGACAGGTAACAAAATGTCACTTTTCATTAAATTCCTTTCTTCTTGCGAAAAAAAGTGAGTACTTTTTCATCAACATATCGAGCGCTTAGACGCATTCGAATTTATGATCAGTGGCGCCAGTAAATTTATTTACAGAGCGTGCCCAAATATCACCCAAGATATTATGAGTCTAAGTGATTAACTAAAGATGAATATTAATAGGTGATTATGATGATAAATGAGTGCCATAATTTTTTTAGTAGAATATGAATGTTCCAGTAGATCAGTAGATCAATATGCAAATCAGTAGATCTCCTAAAAATTCAGTAGAACAGACAACCCTGTCGCGTGCTAACATGGCAATCAGGTGGTGCCCCGATCTTTATTTATGTTTTTGATAAAAGTAAACGACGTCGCGCACTTGCAATGATGCCAGTTTGTGAAGTGGTGGTGAAAATTGCATTATATTGATATTATCCCCTATCTCCTCATGAGTGATAAACGCACGTTTTAGCGTTTTCATTCTTAGTCAAGAAATTTCAAGATTTCTTGACAAGAAATCTTGGCAATGACAAAAAATTTCTTGTCTTGTCTTGAAATTACTTCTTGTCTTGATCTTGTCTTGAGATAAACATAAGATCAAGACAAGATCCTAAGGTATATATCGGTCAGACAGGTCGTACGTTTAATCAGCGCATTCATGAACATAAAATGAATTTTTTGAAAAATGAAACAAATTCAACATACGCCTATCATATATTAGAAAAAACCAATAGTTTTGGTGATGATTCCAAAATTCTACACCTAGAAAATGAAGGCATGAAACTCAATAATTTTGAATCATTAGAAATCAATGAACTAAAAAATTCTGACATTTTACTTGACGATCAATTAGACCTCAATAGTTCACCACTGTTGAATTTGTTTCATTAGTAGGTACTAATATGTATTTGCTATCAACTCTTTCAAGTTAATCCTGTACACATTATTTTAATGTAGATATTGTGGCTAATTTCCGAAAATGGAGGTTAATCGAACCTGTCTACCAGATAACTAATCCTTGGAATTGGATATATAAAAGATAAGTAAGCCAAAGTTACTTTATTTCATTGTACAGTGTGTCCAGTTTTCGATGCTTTTGCATGATATCTCAGTTATCTTTGGAGATAGAACCTTGCGGTTTTCGCGGTCCTGTGCCACTTTTTTGTGAAACTCAAGATGGCCTAATCAGATTTTGCAGGACTGTTTCCGTTTAAGAGATACAGGGCGATTTTGAAAATTTATACTTTTTGGGCCCCCTCCATATCTACGAAATTTATCAGCGAAAATGTCAAATCAAAATCTTAACCCATAGAGAATTTTATGCAGAATCCAGTGGGGCACAAAATTTTTTTTTTCGGGGTGTGGTTTTGAAGATACGACTCAAACTTATGATTTTTTAAATTGAACACCCTGTATGATGTATGAATATAACATTTTCAAAAATGTTCAAAAATCACTAAAACATTGAATTTTAATAGTGAGCTATGGGTTTTTCGAGGGATTTTCATATAAAGAAATTTACAATTGAAGGAATATTTCCATTGATTGTTCCATCAAGGGGGAAATAACAATTTCAACACTAATTAACTTGCAATACACAAGACTTAGATACCTGATATCCACAAATATATAGTAATAAAAAGTTAATAATGTAGAATAAGCACCTGATTGAATATTTACTAAAACAAATGAATTTCGAAATCATTCAGTGATTTATTCATTGAATTGTTCAAATTGATGTCCATTTTCCATCACAAACTTTCTCAATACATATTAATCATTGAAAGATGTCTTTGTAATTCCTGGAAAACTGCCTCTGTCGTTGCACAAAGTTCTTCAAGTATGTTGGGCCACTCACTGTATTAAGAAGTATTAAGAAAGTTTGTCAACTGTATGTTAGGGAAAATGGATATCAATTTGAACATGTTCATGAATAAGTTACTGAATAATTACTGAATAATTCCGGAATTCAATTATTTTAGTAAATATTTAATCAGGTGCTTATTCTACATTATGAACTTTTTATTACTATTTATTTGTTGCTATCAGGTACCCAAGTTTAGTGTTTTGTTAATTAATAAGTGTTGATATTGATTTTGACCTCTCCATGGAAAAATTTAAAGAAATATTTCTTCAATTGGAACGTTTTTTATAAGAAAAATCCATAACCAACTATCAAAATTCAATATTTTAGTGATTTTGAGCAATTTTGAAAACTTTATATTCATTCGTTACATATCATTTTCAAGACAAAAAAATGAGGAATTTAATGAGCTAATGAAATACAGGGTGTTCCATTTAAAAAATCATAAGTTTGAGTCGTATCTCCAAAACCATACCCCGAAAAAAAAATTAAGTGCGCCACTGGATTATGCGTGAAATTCTCTATGCGAAAAGATTTTGATTTGACATTTTTGTTGAGAAACTTCGTGGATATAGAGGGGGTCCAAAAAGTATAAATTTTCAAAATCGCCCTGTATCTCATAAACGGAAACAGTCTTGCAAAATCTGATTAGGCCATCTTGAGTTTCACAAAAAAGTGGCACAGGACCGCGAAAACCGCAAGGTTCTATCCCGAAAAATAGCTGAGATATCACACAAAAGCTGGACACACTGTACATACGAGTATATCAGCTGACGAAGCTACTGTATTAGCGAAACATGTTGTGTGTTTGAGAATTTTGTGGAAATCTTATAGTTTGTGAAATTTTTACATTTGCCATGGATTTCCAACAAGTAACGGCCGTGTCGATTCAAAATAAAAAAAGATGCATTTCCAATTATATTGGTTTTCCAATTGTTTTCAGAATAAACCTCTAACCGTCTTCAGTGCTGGACTCATCTGGCTGTTTGCTACTGCCCTAGCTATTCCTGATGCAATTTCATCCAGACTAATTTACGTTCCAGTTCAAAGGTAAGAAAGAAGGTCTCAGAGCCGTTTGTAATCATTGAATTATACGAACAACCAATGAGATATTTTTGAAGCAATGAGCGTGTTGGAGCTGATTTGATACTATTTAAAAATCCACGTTTTCGCTGATTCGTTTAAATTATTCATTTCTATTTGCCCTGGCAATAATGTTCTCTTTTTAGAGTTTATACAGGGTGAGTCATAACTATTGGGACATAGGCTAAGTGCGGATGTCCCAATAGTTATGACTCACCCTGTATACATAGGCTAAGTGCGGATTGGCCCAAGCCAAAGACAAGAATCTCACTGAGCTTAGGTAAATACGCGACGGTGTTTCAGGCAGAAATTATTGCAATACATCATTGCGTGAAAGAATTGATAAGGCAAGAGTTTAAAGGCAAAACCATTGCAATCTATTCAGATAGCCAGGCGGCAATCAAAGCAGTCAACTCTATGCAAGTTAACTCAAAACTAGTATGGGACTGCTTAGAAACCCTAAATTCACTGGGCAGTCAGAACAAACTGACTCTAGCATGGGTACCAGCACATACAGGGTACGAGGGCAATGAAGAGGCAGACTCACTTGCCCGAGCAGGAGCAAACAAAGCTCTGAATGGCCCAGAACCCTTCTGTGGTATTGCGAAAGCTATACAAAAGACTAGTATCAAATCATGGATGCAAACCAAATCTCAAGAATGGTGGAACAAATCGCCAGGAATGAGACAGGCAAAAGAGTTTATTAAAAAACCATCGCCAACATTCACAGAATATCTACTAAGCCAGAAACGAAGTTCAACTAGAATACTAGTGGGACTTCTCACAGGGCATTGTAGGCTCAACAAACACATGAGTACGATAGGTCTGACTGAAGAACTGCTGTGCAGGTTCTGTCAGGAAGAGGAGGAAACAGCAGTACACATACTTTGCCACTGTGAGGGCTTGTCAAGACTAAGGTTCCCTACGCTGGGTGAGGAAAAACCAGAAGCCCAGAGATACACAGGGGATCTGAAAGCTAGCCTATGGAGTCTCATAGAGAAGACGGGGCTAGCCGAAGAACTCTAATCGATTTTGAGGGCAGACACAATAGATCTGAAAAGGTCGCGGTGTGGAGGCAGATAGCCCGAAGGCCCCATTCTAAATCTAATCTAATCTAAGTGCGGATTGTTTGGACCAAAATATGGCGATAGGACTAAATGTGCCTTTATAGAATATTGCTGTGGAAAAAGATACAGGGCTTTTTATTTTCGTTTTTTGCCAATAATTTCACTGTATATTCATCAATTGTTATCCAAATCTGCACAGAGGCACAATTTCATTCAAGGAATATTATTTTATGTACTTTTCTACATTTTGATACAGGAAGCGCCAAGTGAATGATTCCTGATGATGAAATCGCCTGGTTACATTTTTTGACGAAACTTTTGAGTGATTTTGATCAAAAAATATGACCTGAACATTATTTCTACGTAATATTGGTACTCTCGTTTGTACACGATATTTTCATCCGTTTTCGAGAAAAACGCTGTATTGAACAGTTCAGAGTCTCAGAAGTTAATTACAAATATTTTTTCATTCATGAAGAGTGTGCTTTGAACTGTCAGAAAATGTTGCTGGTAATGATATTTCTTGTCAGAGAATGAATTTTGGTGCGAGTTTATAGTCAAAATTTTTTCGATTGAAATGCCTCGTCACAATCATTTTATGAATGAAGAAATACTGGATGCAGCCAGAAGGTATGAATTGTAATATCTTTCATCATCTAGGCAGAAAGCAACCAAATCACGGAACTTTTTCAAATATATTTCATATATACAGTGAAATTATTAGCAAAAAACCGACAAAAATCGAAAAAAATCAACTTTAACGCTCTGTATCTCTTCTCACAGCAATATTTTATCAATGCAATGTTTGGTCCAATCGTCATATTTTGGTCCAAACAATCCTCCCATAGCCAATGTCCCTATAGTTATGACTCACCCTGTATATAGTTGTGTTTTCAACGTAAACAGTATTGAGATTATTAATTCTTGAAATCAAAATAACGAGATACTCTCTCTATTTTTGGATGTATGATGAATTGATATTCCTGTTGAATATTCAGAATGATATGATGTGCATATCTTTATATGAAGGAGAATGCTAATTCTCTACTTCAGAAGATTTTGTTTTCAAATTCTTATCGTGCGTGTTCAATAAATATGATTCAATGTTCGTCGTGGCATATAGTCAGGAAATTAGTTGTTTCCTGTTGAATAAACCGAGAAAGAGTTGATATTTCCATCACATAAAGAATGCGAATTCTCAATGTATTTCTTTATAATTATATATATATCCATTTTTTTATGTTCATAATTTTATCTGAGAATATTCCCTCTCTATACTTTCTTTACTCTTTTACTTTATAACTCTAATGGAACTCATATGCAACGTAAACGAAGCAATTTAAAAGCGATTGGTGTATTTGAGCTGAATACATACTATTATAAAATCTTGTCTTCACTCTAATTCGCATACGCATTCATTTCTATATGCCCTTTTCATCACGATTCGAGAATTCATAGATGTTTCTTCATGATTAACGTAATTGATATTACTCATACCTTCTCGAAATCATGATGAGGATTCCTTTTTTATTGTATGAAAGCTCTCAGTCTCTTACCTTTCACCGTCTCAATACCACTTACGTTTCGGCATCAATAGTTTATAGTCAATTGGGTGATATACCCGAAGCGTAGAGTTGTCCCCAGTTGTCAGCAGACCGAGAGCGGCTGATGAGACCTGGTGGGTCGAAACAGTACTGTCTCGCTCCTGCTGACGATTGGGGAAACTCTGTTCATCATAGATCTCTTAGTTATGAGATTTAGCAGTTGAATAGGTGGTGGAAAAATTCCACTCAAGTATGTCAGGTAGTGCCATCTGTCAGCAGAGTGAGTTACTTGTAGTACCACTCTGTAGCGTATAGACGTAGGGGTCTGTACGTGTGACTATAGATGGCAGCGCCATACAGTGTATGTCGCGATATCTCTGTATCCTACCTCAGAGCTTCGCCACAAGATGGCTACAACATGACTACAACTTCATGTTATACCCTGCGAATAGTTTAATCATCAGTGAACCAGGTTGTTGTTTAGTTTCAGTACGTGATCCTCTACTCAAATGTAGGAACAGTCGGAGCCAAAAACAAGAATATTTCTACATCTTTCAGATACTGAAGATTATGTTTTCAATTCCTCCAGTGCTGCAACTCATATTCATAATTTCAATTTATCAGTCAGTATTGAACTATAGAAAGCGGATTAGGAAAATGAGGGAATATGAAACTAAAACAATACGCAAGAACACTAATTCATATTATTTATTCATTGCTTATTCATTGTTGTCCCAGTGATGATTGATAGACGAATTTTCAGTGCTTTCCTAATGAAAATCAAGTGGTTCATTCTCACACAGAGGATAATAATGATTAATTCTTCTTTGGATAATACAAGTATTATATAGGAACAATCGATGCAAAAGTCAAAAGACGCATGCGAATTCTCTTGCACTATATTAAGATATCAGAATTAAGATTTTCTACCACCCAGTTGAAAAATCTCGATTTTTCACACCCTATATCTTTGTTCATTTACGCTAGACCCCCAAGTGTAATAGATCGATGATTCCGGTCTTCAGGAAGAATCTGAAAATGGAATAATATGTAGGATGTCCTATACAAAAAATCAAAGATGTTGCTACTTTTCAATATAAGCGGCAACGTCGCAGTGTTAAGAATATCTTAGATGGATAGAACAGAAACGTCTAATGTGCCATACACCGTGAATCAGCCTGTATACATAGAATTGAACAATGATAGAGTGGCGATTTGATCTACAAGAGTGGGACATTTAAGTTCACTAGTGTCAGCTAACACTAGTATGGGTTCATTTCCAATTGTTCGTGAATAAAGTTATCTGAATTGATATTCTATTCGAATTTCAGGTATATATGTAGAGTGAATTCCATACGGGATTAGTGGAAGTTCTATCTTGAATTGATTTCAAAAGTGTACATATAAAGTTGATTGCAGTATCTTTGTCATAGTATCTTAACTCTTAAAACATACTCTGTGAATTTAACTCGAAGCGCTTCTCTACAATCATCCAAATAACTATTATTGAAGAACTATTTTCGAAGTATTACAGCATATTTATTCGAAAAATGGATGCTTCAGTGTCTCATTACTGATATATTTCAGTTGAATGCACATTCAAATTGGAACTCAGGCATATGTGTATTCGCCTATTATGCACACAGCTCACAGCACAGATTATAACAGGATTAATTAATTTTCAGCAACAAGACGATCACATACTGCTCCCCATTCCCAGACTCGATAGCTTACGCCAAATATGAGATCGTTTTCCAATCGCTCATATACTATTTCATGCCTTTGGGGATAATCGCCTGCTTCTATTTGCTGATGGCAATTCGTCTTCATATCAGCGCTAACGAAATGCCAGGAGAAGCAGGAGGGATGACGTCGAACGTCCAGGCCAAAGCGAGACGGCACGTGGCGAAGATGGTCCTCGTTTTTGTTTTTCGTAAGTAGAGCATCACTCACTTATTTTTCCTTGCACTAAACACTGTTTTACCACTAACCAAACCGATTTTTCACACCTCGACACGTGTTTCGCTAACTATGTTAGCATCTTCAGGAGAAGATTAAAACTAAATGCCAGCGATCCCCTGATGACCTGGCACCCAGATTAGCTTGACGCAGTTCCGGTCTGCCAGAGTTCTCAGTTCCCTCTTGCAATCCCATACCAGTCGATGAGATGTCACTTCCTGGCTTTCCATTGCCTTAAGTGCCGCTTGACTGTCTGACATAATACGGATCTACTCGTTTTCCACAGCTCTCCTGTTATTTTCTTCCGCACATTGGAGCATTGCGTAGGTACACCTCTGCTTGGAAAACTGAAGCATACTTCCCCAACGAGTAGCTGAGGCTAGTTTCCGGATGTTTGGAGTATACTCCTGCTTCTGACCCATTCGCAGTCTTGGACCCGTCTGTATACCAGATCTTTCCCTGCAGTATGGTGCTGAGTTCTCCGTCATTCCATTCAGATCTGTCTGGTATGGACACTCTGAATGAAGTGTCAAATATATATCGTTTCGAAATGTGATCTGTTCTCATATTAAGTATGTCCCTGTTCACTATTCTGACGATGCTCATATGTCCTGTTCCTATGTTAACATTGCCCAGTGTATTTTGCAGTCTTAGGGCACCAAGTCTCGCCTCTCCCTGTGCAGAGGACATAAGATACTTACATGACTAATTTATTCTTGATTGTATAGTCATCTGTGTTCTTGTAGATGGTTTTTCACTAGATTATAATACATTTTTCAGGCAGTATAATGTATTGACACTACTCAATACCTACTGAAATGTTTTAATTCAAAATTATTTTTGCTGATTCCAGTGTTCTTCATCTGTTTCCTACCACGACACGTGTTCTTGTTGTGGTTCCATCTATATCCGGTAGCCCAAGAAGAATACAATGACTGGTGGCATGCCTTGAAGATCGTTGGATTCTGTTTGAGGTAAACCTGCCTTTATCCTCATCACAAGTAGGTATATATTTTATCACAATAATTACAACGAACTTCGTAAATTCTGGACTATTCAAGTGTGTCCACTCAATGTTTTGGGTTGCTTAATGAATTTCCTTATTTCTCAGACTGATGTACGCCTAACCAAACCTCAAAACCTAAAAGTCTCTGAAAACCTTGCCAAGTCCTTTTGTGTATACCTACACTGAAATATCAGTTTGGTTACAATAAATAAATATGATTAACTGTTACCCAATCCATTATTGAAATATCGCTTTTCAAAAGTTTGTTTGAAAAAACAAAGTATTTTTTCACACCCCCATGAATAAGCCTCGTGCATGGTTATTATGATTATTTCATGATAATATACATTTATTAACTGATGTTATATATTTCTTCACCAACACCAAACGATATTTATCATTTCAAAATCTTTGTTTTTAGTTACCAAATATTCATTTATAAGTGCAGCATGACCAGAAACCTTCTATTGATAATTTTGTTCGCTGATATATTTCAATGTCTTCATTTCTTATTGTTTCATTAAATTTCCTGATTTATTACCACCATTCGTGGATCACCTCGAGGAGGTGTTTCTAAGCCTTATATCAATAACAAATTCAGTAAATAGTCAACGAATATTATTCATATAACTATATAAACAAACTATTCGATCAGGGCATGTAGCGAATAAACCTATTACCTTAAAACTCATCAGCTCTCAGCTATGATGGCATATACCCACGTTCCCATGTATGCACTTCTACAGTAGGTTAACTTGTGTATTATTTTTCAGCTTCATCCACTCATGTTTGAATCCTATCGCGCTGTATTGCGTCAGCGGAGTTTTCCGAGGTCACTTCAACCGTTACCTTTGCTGTCGAAAGCCAAGATGGCCGAGAAACAACTCCTCATTGGCCAACTGCGAGACCACGTTCAGCTCCACCTATCGGAAGCCCACCCAAGTTCTAGCGTCGATGTGAGCCACAGAAGAACTTCTTTTCTAGTCACTTTTATGTTACCGTATATTACTCGTTCACCTCAAGCATGTCAGGAGAAGCTCAATCGCACAATGTACAGGGTGATTGGTTATAATACACTCAATAGTTATCTGAGTTAATATTGGTCTCACAAAAACGTTCAAATGGGCAGTATTAGTATTTTTCACATTCAGAATTCAGTATTAAAATATGTGCAAAAAGCATCGTCAAGTAAGAATTTTACATGAACTGGTATTCGAAAAAAAAACTGTATTCTTTCTGATATAATTCTGTACTTTTTATTCTCCAAACCGGTAGAACTCTTTTTTTTGCTTTTTTTGGATAGGTACTTTCTTATGGGGATATTCGAAATCTAAAGTTTACATGGGCCGTCCTCAAAATATTGGAATATTCAAATCAGAATAGGTCGCGTGCAAGAACTGTCAGATGACCGACCCTGGAGGCAAAACATATTTGATTACAAGTGATCGAAATGGTTTTCCACAATTATTTTGGCATATGAATCGTATTTTTCCGCTATTCATCAATTCGCTAATGTCATCACATTGTGCTGTTGTAAAATGCACAAAAACTGCAGCGGAAGATGAAGAAATCCGGATGGTACATTATGATTCAAAAGCAAGTAACTACTATAATCACTCACATAGTTTTCATTTTTGAAATTTGGTTATTTCTCTGATTTCTCAGCTAATAGAAATATACCTGAAATATCTAGAATAATGCAAGAAGATTGGATTCATGCAATCAATCGGTAGGACTGGTCTGACATGCTGACGATCGTGTGTGTTGTAGACATTTTCAATCTATTAGCAGCATTAGCTTGTATTGCAGAAGGCAGAAGGAATTCTAATAAGGAATGACAACATTTCATAATGCTAACTATGTGAGATTACTATTTACCTGAAAAATCATATTCCCTAGTCTCTTGCTGCATTTTTTGTGCATTGTACAAACAGCACAATGCGAAGGCATGCTTGAATTAATGAATAACGCAAGAAACACGATTCGTTTGCCAAAATATTGTGAAAAACTCTTTCAACCTTTTGATTCCTCTGTAACCAAATAAAAAAGTGAGGTTGTGTTTCAATAATTCACAGAAGAATGAGGTTGTGTTTCAATATTTTGCCTCCAGGGTCGGTCTTCGTGCACGCGACCTATAGAGGAAGAAATTGATCATCTCAACAACCAACCAGAAATATTAGGAAGAACCATCGAAAATTTGATAAAAAGATATCAATTGTATTCTACACTTCTACAGCTTTAGATTCATACGAAAAAATCTACATATTTCGAAAACTGATGCAGATAATCTTTTGAAGTATATATGTATATTTGAAATCAGAACAAGGAGCTCTACCGATTATGAGAATCAAATACTGGGTGTTCCGTTCAAAAAATACCAGCTAATGTGAAATTTTTGGGTAAGCAATACTTTTTTGCTATTTCTAGTACTAGATTCTGAATGCCCATAAAAAATATTCCCTATTTGCCCTTTTTGAATGTTTCTGTAAGAACAATATTAAATGAGATAGATACTTGCATTGAAAGGCTAATGTAAAGTCCTGATTCTGTATATTGGTTAAAATCAAAGTGATACAAAATATGGTAATACTCATTGAACAACGAATCTGATAGATATATATCACATAACTCATTTATGCGATCTAGCCTCTCTTCTCATATATACTATAGGGTCCAATTGTCAGATTCATCAATGATTCATCTATAAATTTATGTACTGAATATAATTGTTTATTAAGAATGAAACTATTTTGTTCGTAAAAACTTCAAGGAAAGATTGTGGAGTATGGAGTAAAAGTATTCCTTAACTGCGCCACAGGAAAGCAAGAAACAAATGAAAATAATCATAAGTTGCCACAGGACATGAGATTGATGAAATAAACCTCTGGTGTACGCACTTCAATCCTTTCCTGTTTTACAATTCCTTGATTTTCGCCTACTTCGATGAACATAACATGGCGTGGGTGAATGTCGTTAAATTTAGTCTGGTGCCGTACCAAAATTACAGGCATCAATGTGACAATTGTGACCGAATTGTGACCAATGAAGATAGGGAATACATTTTGCAATTTAGCCGCATCAAGGTTGGTAGAACTGATGTTGATCATAAGTTCTAAGAATCACGCCATCTAACATTCGATATGTGAACCCCACGTCATCGTCTGAAATTCAATTGTTTATATCAAGAACCAGTCTGACGAAACGAATGAAGAGTGAGCGCACCAGAGGTTTATTTCATCAATGACATGAGCATACCTGTGACACATAAACAGCTGTCAGAAAATGTCAAATGTTTAATGACATTGATGTGATATCTACTTTTCTTCCTTGGATGGGTCCTGTCATTCCAAGTACACCTCAGCCTCCTATGCTTTTTGTGCATTCCTGTTTGGTTTTAAAGCACCTATTCCATAGCTTTCATCCCCTGTTGTAATTCACCTTGTTATGAAGAAAAGTTTGAATCGTGGATTTTTTCAGAGTACGTATAGAGTCAATGTGAACTGTTCAACGCATTTTCGCCATCTATTAGCGAGAGGCTGAATCAGGACACAACTAGGAGATCTAACTGCATAACAGAATGTTCTGGAAACTGATAAAAACTGAAGAAATTACTTTCTGAATGATCCAATAGATGTCGCAACTGACTCAATATAGTATTATAGATACGCATTTTCCTCTATTAGGGAGAGGCTGAATCAGGACACCACTAGGAGATTCAACTGCATAACAGAATGTTCTAAAAACTACTGCTAACAACTGAAGAGGTTAGTTTCTGAATAATTCGATAGATGTCGCAGCTGACACAATATTGTATTATATTGTTTATAGTAATACAGTGTGGATCAACTGAATCGAGTTAAATCGATGTCTCAAAATCCAATCAAATTTCCAAGAAATGCTCTGGCAAACCGATTGAATCTTTCTAAGGCGATTTTTCTAGCCCACTTCTGAATATACAGGGTGATTATCATATGGGTAAATGTGGAATTGATATTTTCCTAAATTGTTGAAGTCCCTGGAAGGTCGATACAAAATAATACTATAGACTCTTGAGACCAAAGTAACATGATTGAAGCAAACTTACCTCTATACCAAAACGCTTTTTAAAGCCGCAACGAGACGTTGGGATTGAGTTTTTATTCTTCATTTTCATATCTTGAAATATAATTCTGAAGACTACCTTCAGCCTTCAGGTATATGCATCAAATTGGAATCTGCTCAGTGAGCTATCTTTGATATCCCTAGTGTTTCAATATCTTATTGTCTATGGGCAGAGTATTGTTTTGAGAAATAGATATAAATGTTTCTATCACTACTTCGAAGTTGACGAACAAACTTCAAAATCAGTGAAGTATAAAAGTAATGAGCAGTTTTCACTATAAAGCATATTTTAATTTGAATCTTTTTCATTCGAAAGTAGGTTTATAGAGTTTTTTCAGGTCATTCGAGAGTCATTGCTTTCGAAGATTTGAATTTTTTTTTATTTCTATATAGGAAAATTGGATAAATAACAACATAATAGGTATACGAATAAGTTTTTAATTCTTACTAGAATATTACTGGTTGAAAAATATGTACAAAACTTTGTTTATCAATCCTAAATCTAAAGTAATATACACATATTGAACAAAATTACAACTCACAACAGTGACGAATCAAATAATTCTAAATAATGCGAGAGATCAGTCTTAACAAACTCACGAAACTTTGTACGCTTCACAGATCTACATAGTACATATACCCACAACAATGACACTCCTTCATCATTTAAGTACTGGCTCTATAGTGATAATCATTGATACAAAAATTACACCATCAAAAACAATGCCAAAGGACATGACTAGTAACAAAAACAAACTATTTACAAAAATAATACAACACAAGGAACAACTCCCCTTCAACAATAAGTGGCATGAGTCTCGAATTTTCTCACTCTCACAGTATCCACCACAGTAACATATTGTTACACCATCGTTACATTCCTCCTCTTCTTCTCCCCAGAGTTGACAGAGCTCAGAGAACCCTGCACACTAGGATTAAACTGTTCCCTTCTCTGCATACTCTGGTAAATGGAATGCTCCTGCGGAATAGGTCCCTGGTGTACCCCATAAACGTCATAGTTAACAGGAAACCTCCCGTCATTGAACACAGGTAGCGGAGGTACAGGTGGAGGATAGTGTTCCTGAATCTGGTGCCCGTTCAAGCTCATATGGTCCATGTGGTCTCCATTCAACATCATCTCCTGCTCGTGTTCCATCAAATTCCCTTCCATAGGACTCCTCCTCCTAGTTTCATGCTCGTGGAGGAGCTGGGAAGCGCTCCAAGAGTTGTAAGGGCTCAAAATCGGTTGTTGCCTGTTGATCGTATTATTGGAAATAACGCTAACACCCCCATAGTTATGTTGCTGCATCTGCTGTTGGTGCTTGAGCTCCTCGATCAGCTGCTGCTCTTGCTGATTAACCAGAGAATACCGCTTCTTGGTGTCATCCTCATAACCATAGTTACTAACAGGTAAACCAACCTGATGAGGGTCTGAATCATAGCTTTGGTTAATGCTCTGAGGGGTGCTCTGAGGGGAGCTAGGCACAATAGTGATGGTAGAGCTGAGAGCATCTTTATTGATCACGCTAGCCTTCTTAGTGTTCTTGTCTTCCTGCCTCTTCCTTTTCACCACGCAGAAGTAGCAGTAGAGGATGAGGAGAACGACCAGGAGGATCAAGCCAATCACCACTGGTAGAATGAGTTCCAAGCCTACAGGCATAGAGCTAGCGATACTGGTAGTGACAGGACCATTTCCTTGAGGATCCCCATTGCTCGGCCAATAAGACTGTTCATCGGAGGGGTGAGTTGGGGGAATAGTTGGAGGTGGCGGTGGAGCAGGTACGAACACTCTGACCCAATTGGAAATAGGTCCAGTTATATTAGAAGACACTTTGGAGTGAGCTTTGATGGCAAAGTACAAGGTCTTGTTGAGCAGATCCCTCTTCTGGTTCAAGTCTAAAGTGAAGGTGGTTTCTGAGCCAGGGGCTAAGGGGAAAGGTTGTCCGTTGTCCCATAGGGCCGCTTTGGTCTCGAACTTATCCATGATGTCCAAGACTGAAGTGGCGTAACGGATTTCGTAGTTGGAGACGGTGTTTCCTCCCATGTCGGGCGATGTCCAGGAAAGTCTGGCTTTGAGATCGTCAGGGATGGTTTCGGCTTTCAGGTCTCCGATGCGGCCTACTGATGCCTGGTGGGTTGCCTGGATTTCTGCGGCGGTTATGTGGAGGGTTAGCTTGGGTAGGACGCGTTGGAATGGCGATATGGGTTGGACTCCGTTCGATGTCACTGAACTGCCACAACATGGTTCATTTTCTGCAAAAGAAAAATATATTTATTTTTCTATCATTTCATTATGAGAAACAGATATATTTTTTCTGTGACGGGAAAAAAGTTTGGCATTTCATCTCTGTTGGCAGGTTATAAAATGTCACTTTTCATAAATTGCTTTTTTCCCGTGGGAAAAAAGTGAGTATTTATATATACACTGTTGATGGCTTTTGCTGTGCTATTTATTTATTTATTTATTCATTTAACAACTTCAGGATACAAACAGACAAAGTCCAAAACAGCATCCACAATTATTATAAACGTGAGTTAAACGTTGATATATACAATATACAATATAGCAAATATAACAAATAAAAATTATCATAAACATCAGTTATGAGCATAAATTCAATTTTAAAAAGAGTAAATACACTTGAAATTTGTGTTAGGAATTACTGAATATTCTTTTGATATCTCTTTGTATTGCTACCACAGACTTATCAAATAAATTCGAGCTACTGCAGTACATGTTGAATTCCTTTTGACACCTGATAATAGGAGACTTATTTCCTAAATTAGTTCTACGATATGGCAAGTTGAAAAAGTCAAAATTAGTTAAAAGTTAAAAGAGGTCTTGATGGAACATTGAAATTCAGTTTCGATAACAGTTCAGGAGAATCAATTTCATTGATAACATTTTAGATATAAAGCTATAGTTATAGTGCTATAGTTCCGAAAAATGAGTCAATAATACCGTCTCCGAGAAAGAACTGCAAGTCCTTTTATCTTCCATTCGACTTCGCGGTTACGTATATTACTGAACAACCACTGAATTCACAATTTTTCGAAATCTAATCACAGGATTGGACTGGCAGAAGTGACATCAGATATTTGATAACTTCAAAAGAATGATAAAGATGCCTACAACGCAGGTGTCCCTACTGTTAAAAACTTAAAATTTCACGTCGATAATTTTCAGATTTCAAAATAATGTAATATCTTCTCAATATCGATTCTTCCTTTCTTTTCTCAGAGAAAAATATAGTGTATTATACACGGGAAAAATATTAGATTATAGCTCACGGTTTTTTGTCTGTCTACTATCTACTACTTTTTTCCCTTTTATAATAAATAACTATTTTTATCGATATGGGAGATTTAGAGTATGTCGGCAAGAAGATTCGTCATAATGTATCTAGTGCTAACATCAAGGTACTCTCCAGACTATACTGAATTATACGGACATTCTTCATACATCTAATCAACATTTATTGTTTTTCTCTGCCTACAGCAGAAGTTTCTTGACATCATATCATACACTCTGGAAACTGATGGGGTTTCTCGTCTAACCCATAGTTGAAGTCTATAAGTTATTATATTGAATATCTTTGGAACTAACCGTCAAATCTTTATCAAATTTTGAGGATAACGGCTTTTCAACACCTAGAATCCAATGGCGATATTGGCGATGTGATAGAACTGTGGAAAATGTTCATGATATCATACACTCTGAAAATTGGTAGGGTTTCTAGTCTAACCAAGAGTTGGAATCTCCGAGATATTATATCGAATATCTTTGGATCTAACAGTTCGATTTCAATTAAATTTGGAGAGAGAGGATTTTTTAGCATCCAGAAACTAATGGTGATATATAGGAGATGTTATCACGTTTATACTTTTTGCGCAATAGCACCGATTTCATATATTTTTGTTGAGACATTTATTTATCTATTTATTTATTTATTCCATCAAACAGGTTTTACCCCAATTACATGTTATGTGTGTATGAATAGTTGATTGAAGTAGTACTTCATTTTCTAGAATATCATAAATCAAATGCCCAATGAGAATATCAAATCAAAATTTGACAGGTGATCTTTCTCCAGACTATCAATCGAAATTTTTCATTATTTATAGGAGAATTAAACTCCTATCCTAATGAAATGGTTGGAATTACGTTATAATGAATAACAGCTGACTGAAAATAGCTTGAAAAATTTCATCTTCGATTTCGAGAAAAAAGTTTGGACACCCTGGAAAAATGCCACTCACCATTCTTCTTAGAGCCAGTCCATGTATAAGCAGTGTTTCCGTTATCGCTCACAACTACTTCAAAGGTGTAGAATCCAGGTCCCCATTCAACTGCACTGAAGTATTTGGTATAAATTCCATCACCCTTGGTGATATCCGGATCACCAGCTCCGGTATCCAAAAGTTCCAACCTGGCTTCCAATGGCATAGAACCGTTGATTCCGGGCTTGCTGACGATCACATCAACTTTGGCACCCAATATTGGTAGGTCGCCATATTTTACTTCGGCTAGAAGAATGATGGGACTATTTTCGGAATTTTTGTGGGTCCTAAAGTTCGCTTTGACGACTGGACTAAACGGAGATTTTGGAGTTGCCATCACTTGGATGAAATGTGGCTGTGGATTGCCAGCGTACGTTTCTACGATGTAAGTCCAAGTACCAGTCTGCAAAAGAAAACATAAACTCAATATTGCTACAAACATCATCAGTGTCAAAATGTCAAAATCTTTTCCCAGCCCTTTATTTCAAACCCAATATTATCAAATATCAAAACAGGCATGTTTTCTTACCTCGGAGATATTGGCATTCAAAGTGATCATCTTGAAATCAATCAGCTTGTCATTCCGACTGTCAAAGGTCTGATGGCTAGGGCTGATTAGCTTCAACCCCTTGATCAGAGGAGTGACCGTGTTGTGGGTGAAAAAAGTGAACTGCGCTGGTTCTCCCATATTTGGATCCAACATAAAACTCCCAGTCACAGAGGTTCTTCCATCATCAGTTATCTCCCTGCGATGGATCTCCATCGGCAGGAAAGATTGTGCAACAGAGCTGAACCTTGTAACTAGATCGTACAGAACATTGTGCAGCTCAAAGTAAGTGGTGAGCAGAGTTGTGTCCACGTTGAGTTTTTCTTCGAAGACAGTGTAGTAAGCTCCACCAGTCTCTATAGCTAAATCGTTCAGAGTGCTCGTTCTGACCACATTAGGATAGTTGATGGTCGCTACTTTGATGCTAGTCTTCTTCAAATCCTCAACAGTCTTCTTCATGCTATCATCTTTGGTCATGCCGGTAGCAATAACCACAATGATGTTGTTCGCTGGACCATGTGATCTAGTGCGGTCATTAAGCATTATTGCAGCTTCGTTCAAGGAGCAAAAGAGACAACCAGGTTGCATACTCTCACTTGGTGTGTAAGGTATGGAGGAATAAAACTTGTCTCTGTTATCTCCATGTTTGGCTGATACTATATTCAAGGCTCTTCTAGGCTGTACTGAATCGAAGAGAACCATGCCGATTTCGGTATTCTCCGGTAGAACGTATCTAGCCCATTGTCTCATAGCCAGCCTGAGATAGCTCCAAGACTCCCGCTGCATCATATCCTTGGAGTTTTCGATGACGAAAACGTAGCGGGTGATGTTCTGCTTCTTGTAGACGATTCTGGGCGTGGTGTTGGTTATCTGATTGCCAGCCAAGTTGTTTTGTTCGCTTCCGGAGAAGTCCTCGTGGTTTATGATGACGTCTAAGACGCTTCTACGGTCGCATAAGAAGTTGTGTTTGGTCGGAGCTAGACGATTGTGGTTGCCTTCATCACAGAACATGGAGACCGATGGAGATTCAGCAGCGAACATTATGGAGGATCTAGCATTTCGGTCCACCATTTTGGTGCGGTTGTATTCGGCATTAGCGGTAGAACAGATTCTGAAATAAAAAAGGGATAGTCAAGATATATGTATGGCACAATAAGAAGAATCTATTGAGCACTAATAACGATGATAACCATGATTCGATCTGGTTTAATTTACTCACCCATTATCTCTAATTGGTAGATCTGAGCAACCGGTGACTTTGGCTTGTCCATTTTGATCGTCATAGTAGCACATGGGGTAAATTGGGTCATTAAAGTATCCTTGTTCTTCGAAGACACCGTAGCGATACATGGCGAATTGTTTGATCAGGTATCGAGCTGGAAAGAAAAAAGGAAATGTCATCCACTAATTCAATGAAAGTCAATGCGAAGATAGATGCTTCGACAAGGAACTGATTATACCTGTGACATTTTACTTCATCAGATTTGGAGAAAGCTTGATCACGTATTATTATAATGCATATAATAAGATTCACTAAAATCATGCTATCACAGCAACCAACGAGGATTTCTGAGATAACCTCGAGTTTTCTGCGCTATCAATGATGTTTTTTGAATCACCATTGAGTTATTGAAAATACCATTACTGTTTCCTGAATCACATAAGAGTTGCAATTGGAGTTATTGAATTAATCAAGTAATGAAAATGATTATAATCTGAATCACAAGTACTATTCCACTAGAGAACTAATCAGAATCAACCATTATTTCACGATTTCTTTTGTATTACTTGCTCTACCAAAACAGAAGCCGAATTGTCCAGACGTGACCAAGCAACTTCAAGTATAATGGAAGCCGGAATGATGAATGCAGTGTGTGCAACTCTCGCGAGACACTTGTGTATTGTCTCAGACAACAAGCTGCCATAACAAGCGTCGAATATTTCCGGCAAAATAGTATCACTTGTGGTATTTACTTTGACTATTCCACTCTTGGTCTCTAGAATTAATCAGAATCGGCGATCTTCACTGTGTCTTCTGTATTACAGCGCTGATTTTTTGTTTAGTAAAGTTTATCGGACTTGCTTTATCAACACAGAAGCCGAATTGACCCACACGTGACCAACCTTCCTGGTTTCTCGCAAGCCGCTCGTTTATTGTCTCAATCATGGAATACTCATACGAATACAACTCTTGATACTATTTTTCCTGGAAATATCTTTCGATTGACATACTCCAGCTTGCTGCTTCAATTTCGCTCATGACATTGTTCAAAACTTCTCGCAAGCGGCTCGAAAGTTTTGATACACAATGTCATTCGCGAAATTATCAGACAACAATATGTCATAACAATCGCCGAATATTTCTGGTATCACTTGTGGTATTACAATGAAGAAAAATGATCCTACCTAGTTGACTATTCCTCGACAGCAGACTTTCGTATCCCATGAAGATTTGGTCGCCTTTTTGTCCGCATCCTAACGATTGTTGCGTCCAAATTTGTCCCCGATTGGGGTCGGTGGGCTGGACGGTGACGTCAGAGGTCTCCCCGGAAGAGGACAAAATGGCGGACGATACGCAGGAATCCGGCCAGGATGAAGGCAGCAGGACGGTGGTCGATCTTATGTACGCTCTGCTGTCCAGGGCGGAGAAAAGGTATTGCGATGCGCTCGTAAGGGTTGCCTGAAAACAAAAAGAGAATAAGGTTAACTACCCCATTATATCGACTGTCCCAATCATCAACATTCTTGAAGAAAATTTTGAAAAAATTAGAATCTGACAGACAATTGTCACTGAGAACTGAAAAGTTCATTTTTTATGTTGAAAACTGGAGCAGATTCGTTCGCGAAACGTCCAAAGACAAGTACAAATTTGATATTTTTTCTATATACCTTTATTTCTCTTCGCCGAACCTTTTTCAATACAAATTGTCACTGACAAGCTAGTGAATTTTTCTTTTAGGCTCTCTGATAGGAAAATTTTCTAAACGCAGTGACATTTTGGGGCAAATCATCTGATTGTCCTAACTACAAGTATATTGAAATAGTATTTTTCTACTCACATAACTAAAATGGCATTTATCGTACGGATATGTACCACGCTAAATGATCGATTAATCACGGATTGTCGATTTGTGATTTATTCAAAATATTAAACACGTTACCATGGCAACACGATTTCTTGAACACATCACCATGGCAACGCAGTTCATTAAACACAGCTTCAGTAAATCGAGACATGTCTGGCCTGTCAATTGTATTAACTGTCAACTGTTATTTTCATATTTTGTATCAGAATTATTCAAACAATATTCGTTTGTATCGGAATTCTTCATCAAAAATATATGCGAAAAGTAGACGAGAGTGAAATCGAAGAGAATGTTCAGGTACTTACATACCTCCAAGAAGTGTTAAAATGAAGCATCCATCTTTGAGAACAATTTATTTATTCAGCGCTAAGCATGACAATAAACGTGAAACAAAGGTTAGTAAGCAATGGACTGGACAGATCTACAACCAATATCACATACGTGTCTCGCTGGTTGCATGCAGTTGTATGTATTATGTTCTCAATTCCCATTCCTTTCGAATTATTTTGTAGGTTAGCAGGAATAGCAGGTATGTTAATTAATGTAATTTTTGGAGTTCGTAGAAAAATCATAGTATGTAACGCGTTTATAAACTCTTCTAGACACTCGTTTATTAAGCACTCGCTCCGCTCTGCTCCGCTCGTGCTTAAACTACTCGTTACTAAAAGGACGTTTATAACACTTGTTACATAATATACTATTATACTTTTAAAAATCTGGAATAATAAGGTTTTTCCCACTTTCCCTAAGAAGCTCTGGCCGGTAAGGCAGAAAATATGAATTCTATAAATTATTCAATTTCTTCATTCTGTCCCTACACATGAACTGATACAAATTGTTGTCCAAAGTGCAAAGAGACAGGTGAATTGCGGTGAATTGATTATGGTAGTTTCAGTTTGAAATTTTTCAGTTACTTTATAGAGATAGTTGTTAACATAAATTTGAATTTGTGTTTTTGTACTGTCGATAACTGTCGATAACTGTTACATAAATTTTTAAACTCTGTACCATATAGGGGATTGCGATTCGAAATATACTGTATATAAAGGTGAAAAGAAACGAAATGTGGTAGGCAATCCTATAAAATTGATAATAATCCTTCAGCTAAAATACAAATCATACACTGAGGGAAAAAATTTTTAGCCGTTACTAAAAAATTAGTAACTACAAAAAAATTTTTTAGTACGATAGGGGGCAGCAAGCATTAGTTGTTGCCATAACTAATTCTGTTTTTCTGGAAACGCCTATTTGCCTCGAATGAAAAGTTTAGTTGAGTCATCTACGACGTTGTTGTGGTAACTAATAATACATAGTTATGACAATTAGATTGTTAGTACTGTTTCAATATATGTTTGTTATCACGACAAATCATCCCAGTTGGGGCAATTACTCATTTCTTCTGACGTTAATAGTGAGTGTGTTGTTGCAAATTAAATATTTAATTGTGACTGAAATGGAATCTAGTTACTATTAAAAGTGATTTAGTAACGTTTGAAATATAATTTAGTTATTCTGGCAACTTAATAGTTTTATATCAATTATAATCAAGGCCCCATTCTAATAATAACAGTTTGTATGTCATTTTCCTTCCAATTTCCAATGGAATCGTGAACAGGAATACACCACACACCGTAAGTGCCACAGGCCACAGCTCAGCAAAAAGAGAGGGAATTATAAATATACACCGTGTACACGTGACGTCGCATGGACGTTTCTCACCGTCGCCCGTCGTAAACTGAACTGAATTGTGAATAGGTACCTAAACCTGATAACTAGTGACGCACAGATAACGATGGTAAACTGCGAATTATTATTTTGCCAACCAAATGCCAAATGGCTCAGCGCAAAGTGCAAAAAAACACGAAACAGTGATTTGAAAACACACAGAGCAGTGCACCAGCAAGAACACGACGCTCCCGGCTACACTAGACAATTATTTCATTTATTTTGTCTAAGCTCGACGACCGTGCGATCTACCCACTATTAAGATACAAGTTCAAATGATGAAACAGAAAGACAAACAGATGCAAGATGCAATTTTTGCCGGTGGGTCCCGAAAAGACGCGAGGCGGTCCCGAACGACGCAGTCCAACTAAAATTATTAGTTATGGCTAAACAATTTCTGCTATGAATAATAATAAACCTTTTACGATAAATGTGTCATCAGTTGTGGCAAATAGTCAGCTGTTGTTAGTAACCCCAGAATGAGGTTTTTTAACACCAATATGAAATTTTAATTGACTTAATAGACAACACTGTGATAATTCTGTCACAAATAGTATTTTTATTGATGACAAATAATTGGCGAAAAATAGAAAAGTCATTTGTAGGAAATAAGGATACGTTGTCATTGTTAATAAAATTCCAAATATTTTTAATTATCGGTACTAAAAGAATACCAACTAGACGTTTTAATTAACCAGTTTTTCTCAGTGTAGGTTGGAATTCTATTGAAAGTAAGAGTTTCCACATTCAGTTAAATCATCATAGCTTTCAGAGTGTTGTGAATATCTTCTTCAGAATTCAATTTCGCATTTAAACGAATTAATATGATGGCATTTAGAGGAACTATCAACATTTTAAAGGTCGATTTCGATGCTGGAACAGAATCGAAAAAAATTACCATTACTTCGAAGCGGTAACAAAGAGCAACTTATGCAATCGAGAGCGATATTCAGTAAAAAATCTAGCGAAGATGCTCGAAAGTCGTGAGGAAATTAAGTCACGAACTGATCTAGTCCCACCATACGAACTAGCATCTTGATACATTTGCAGTGCAGATCTTATATTTTCTTCTATATTTTTCTTTAATCCGAGATTAATGAGGTCACGACTGAATTTTCCAGTATCGAAACGATAGATGGCCATGACTATACATGTATAGGATGTCCAGATAAAAAGATATCATCAAGCAGCAAAAACAAACTGTGATATGTTTCCATTCTTATTGTTGTTCACTGTTGAATAACTCTGATAAATGGAAGGAAATAATTGAAAAATAAACGAGTCGATATCAGTGATGGATTTCGTCATCAATTCCAATAGGTATACTTATTTCACGTTTGACGATGTACGAAACAATCAAAACGTTTTATTGCTAACCGTTGTTATTTTCTACGCTATTCTCAATTGTTTATGATTTGTTCCTATGACTGGTTTCAAGGCAACCTTGAATATCAATGCGAGCTATTCTTCATTATTAACATCTTCAAATGCATCGTTATTGACTCTCACGTAGTTATATACCTATGTCGTTTATAATAATTCTACCTGGGGTTATATGCTTCATCTTTCATTCTTATTGCATCATAGAATTAGCATACTGGCATCAAAACATTATTAAAAACACGTCGGATGATATATGCTAGTATCAAGCACGGACGGAGGAACAGAAAAATAACAAATGAGCCTGTTTTTATTATTTCATAATCGAACGTTTAATTTTGTAACTGTTTAGAGACATTACTGTTACGGTCTACTATACCCCATCAGCCGCCCTCGGTCAAACATTCATTCTAGTCGATTGTCATTCTGTTTTGCCAATTGGAGAACTGTTGTTCACAAATAATCGAAATGAAAAAGAAACTGATGAAAATTGATGTTTCTAAACTAAATAGTAAGAATAGTGAAATCAGGTAGGAGTCATGAACCATGAAATTGATCTATTCGTGGGTGTAATTATTACTGTCGTATTTAGAAACATCGAAATTATGACATCGAATAGTGTACAGGTAGCTCGCTGAACCATAGCAAACAATTTTGTATAAAAATTATAGTTTATTTATCAAAAGAATTACGACTGACTATCGTATAGGTTGGAATTATATTTACAATAGAAAATACTAATTACATTCATCACATTTAGTAGAATAGTCATATCATTTGGAGTACTCAAAGCTAACAGGGAACAAAATGTATTGAAAAAAGTGTTTTTTTTTCCTGATGTGACTGGAGAGAGTTAAACATGGTATTTCTGTTAATAGGTAACAAAATATTACTTATTATAATATCACTTTTTTCTATGAATGTGAAAAAATGAAAAGGTGACACTTACTTACAGTTTCTTATGGTTACTACGACACCATGTGCGAAACAGTGCGCGAAGTATAATGATGCTCGAAGTACATACTTCGCGCATTATATGTACTATATGAGATTTTGTATTTGTGTTTTATTCGTGTTTTATGGTTCTCAATCGAGCAAATAACATCCAAGAAATCATTAATTTCTGAATGTTTAACTATAGTAAAGGCCTTTTAAGCAAGTTCAACTCTATTTTTTATATTAAGCTAAGCATTTCGAAGTTTGTAGAGAAAATGTTGTTAGCAGCTCGTGCCCGAAATACTTTTGGTCATCTCGAATCAGTTTTCGATCACCAAAGTAGCATTTCGCGTACTAGATACTAAAATAACTATTTTCCTAGGCAAAATAGTAAATATATAGGTACTTTTCTCCTGGATATACTGCCAGAAATTCGAAATTTGCCGTTGAATATCTAGCCCCCTCCTTATATGAGGTAGTGCGTTGAAATTTTGTATGGGGGTATTTTTTCTCAGCCTGATGAATTGAAAAAGCTTCACACTTAAAAAAAAAGTTGCCTGACAGTCATTTTTGGGAATTTTCACTCATTCAACAAACAATAGTAGGCCTTGAAAATCTGAATATTCCAGATTTCCCTACACTTTCGAACTGTGGCATAATTAAGGGAGGGGGTCCATGGGGTCTCGTGATATTATTTGATTTACTTTTTAATGCTTTTTCCCTCATTTTGTTATTATTACCAAATGATGCACACATTCACGTTCGTTATACAGGGTGTCCCATACGTCATGAATCAGAAGAAATGGGGTGGTAGAGAGGGTTATTTCCAATCAAACTAACCATATATGTGGTTATTCAATTGTTGATGGTTCAAAAGTGATTAATTTCCTTCATTTCTATAAAAAAAAAAAAATTTCAATGAAAGTATATCACATTTTTGTGATTTTTTCTTCTACAAATTTATCCACGTGGATGTACCTTCCCCCCAGAAATAATTTCTCATCAATAACCTGAGAAAGAATTCGTTTTCCTAGAGTTTTTTCAATTGATGAAATATTCAAATTGATTTTTAAATGCAGCTGGCAGATTCAAAAACTACCTCACAAAGATAACTAATAATTAGAAAAAGTTGACCATTTAATACAGATTCCGGAATGGTATAACATATGGGGTTATCCAAAACATCCTTTTTGTTACTATTTTTTTTGCAAATGGGTCGCGTTTTTGATAAAAATTGAATAACTTTTGAACCATCGACAATTTGATAACCACATATACCGTGAGTTTGATTGCAAATGACTTCTTTTGAATCATGACTTATGGGACACCCTGTATATTGCTTTTCTTCATCTTAAATATCAGAGATCCCAGATCGTTGATAAACATATTATGGAATTTTTGTTTTGAGAAATCGGTCAACAGTCAACACACTGTCCGTAGGAAACGTGAATTCAATAAAAATGTTTATTTATCATTTATACTTGATTTATGTAGGTAAGTATACTGTTATTCCTGACCTTTCCAATATTCTTCTATGGTTTATCAAAAAGCCTACTTTGCATTGAGGCCAGAGATCAGTGACATTATGGAAATTGCTTACTAAAGATGTTCACAGAGTTATTTCTAAATAATGTTTCAAGTTTCAGTATAATCTTGATGTCTCTGAACTTGCAATTATAAACTCTATAAGATTGAGTTTCAATTAGAAATTGGTAATTCAATTTTGTTCAGTATCCTCATATTTGTCTTAGTGTTATTTCTTCTATTTCCATTCGGAACTCTTGGAGATTCTTGGGATCATTTTATATGGCAAATAATCCCGAATCTTTGTTGTTGTCTTAAAGACGAACAAGTTTTGTTATAGAGTTGTTCGACATATTTCAAGGTGGACAACGAAAGGATGTGCAGACTGGGCTTGTCGACATCGTCTGACTGATATTGCTAGTGATGGTTTGATATCAGGGATTTCTAAAGAAAATCAGTGAGTGTGGCATCACCCATGCACCAGACAAATGGCTTTCCTTTGGATAGAATCTAAGAGCATCAGCGTATGTTTGTGTGCTTAACCCCATATGTTGGAACAGTATTCTGAAACAGGCTGTATCTGTGCTTTGTACAAGGACCTCTTAGCCCGCAGCAACTCGTGAACCCATCTTACTCTTGGTAAAACTCGATGCTGTGTTCCGTTTTCGGAATATTTCGATTCGAAAATGATGAAGGGATAACTGTTGCTGGTATAAAGCTATGTATTAGAGTGAGTATTATGAAGAATTATGACCTTTTTATTGAAAACCGAAAACAACAATACATTTCTAATGCTAAACTCATTGATTTAACAATGGATCACAAGAATAACATCAAAACAGATTCGACTAAGAACAGTCTAAGCTACATAGGTAAATTCACTTCAAGAGTTGTAAGACATAATTGAACATCACTTAAATTACCTAACAGCTGATCCTCAACTGTTCAGAAGGATAATACAATCTTAAGAAAAGAAATTAGAATCGTGTATTCGTCGAAATATAGGACATTTTGAACACACACTCTAACTGATTCAATATTTTTTTGTTTCTAGTCAAATATCTCTTAATTTTCTACTCACGATTCTTTGTTCCATCAATAACTTCAGCACAAGAATAATTTTGTTGTTTTTGAACCTGTTTATCAGGTAATTGAACTCAATAAAATTCATTTTATACCAGCATCATTACTACTCCATTATTTTCAAATCGAAATATTCCGAAAACGGAACATAGTATCGAGTTTCACCAAGAGTTCCTTGTTGGTTTAAAGTTGAATGAGGTTCAAGTTCATATCATATTTGGATTGAAAAATAGGACCTCAAAAAAGTTATGTTCTAAACTACTCGGTACGAACCGTGTAACTAGCGCCCTCTATGAGAGTCAGATATAAAAACAAATTCATGCGATGTGTCAGATTTCAAAAAACATCCATACAACATTTCATCACAATGTTGCCAGTAGTTTCGACATAATCGTGAAAAATGTGTGAAAAAATAATTTTTTCAACACCTTGTATCATGAAAACGGATGCCGTTACGACATTTTTTTCACTGAGCAAACCCAACTTATTTTGCAGTGTTTTACCTACCCTAGCAAGAGGGTCAGGTTTTTTTGAAACACCCTCTATATCATCCCCATAACATTATGTATGTTATGATTTTCTGGAGGTTCATATTGCTTTGCTGACCAATATATTGTTCCGGTACCAGGTACTCAATAGAACGATTGGTAATGAAGATTACCAGTCACCTTACGTAAGCTATGAAAGAATTTCTTAGGAAGCTTACTCATAACATATAGTGCTGCTTAAATTATCAATGAAAATGAGGAATGTTTATTCGACTAGTACTACGACTGTGACAATAAATTGTTGAATCGGATATGGAGTATCCAGAGGCGGAGATACACATTTAACGAACATTCACTAAAGATGGGTTTTGGTACAGAGTGGTTCGAAAGATCAATAGAAAAAATACGAAAATATATCTCGTAAAAATATTGGGAAAACTAACTATCCTAAGGAAGAATAATAAAATGATTGATGCCTATGAAAATAACAACAGAAGACGTGATATCGCAGAATACCTTTTTCAATCGTGGGAGATTGTACATCATCAAACATAACCTTGGCCAAGCCTTTAATTTAAGAAGAGGTGAGAAAAGGTATGTAAACAACTTTGTTTGCTAGAAAACGACCAGTATGAAGACGGTTTTGAGGAAGTAGCTTGTTCTTAAATCGTTCACACGGAGCATAGTAGTACACCTAACGAAGAAGGTATTAGCACATATTTCATAAAGAAA